AACTTGTATCGCTGAAGTTCCTCGGAAAGAATTTATACCGGAAATTAACAAACGAGTAGATACGTAACAATATATATTTTTAATATTTGTATTTTCGAAAGGCATATATATATATATATATATATTTGAAAATATTTTTGAGTATTTTTTGAAAAGTAAACTTTTTAAGGTGAAATCTTTTATTATTTAAGAAGCAGAGATCGATCTTTCAAAAGTATAAATATTTAAAATAATACAAAAATTAGCGAATAATATTTTCAAATGCCTTTATACTAAGGAATTTTGGGATGGCACAGGGAAGTAACAATGACCTATAATAGAGGTCGTCGGTGGATAATATCAAATGCGCAAGCGTAGAAAAATAGTGAGTAGGGCATAGAGTACGCGAGATTGTGCGAGATTTTGTTTTAGTACTATTACTTTTGTAGGGTTGTTAAACTTCGAAGAAATGGCACTTCCGATAAGCTGTAGAAGATTTAGCGATAATTATGACATTAAAGAAGAGCTAGGAAAGTAAGTTTTGTTTTCATGACTGAACTGTGTATAATAATCGTGAAATACTTGTTAATTAATTATTTTGTGTTGAATTTAACGCTGTTTCACCGCAGGTGAAAAAATAAAAGTATAGATTTTAACTTGTTATTCAGTGTGACTGTGACTCATGTCATGAGTTGTCTGACAGTGATACTAACAGTGCCTAGTAATACTAATAGTATTAGTAATAACTATTATTATTAATATTAACATTATTATTATTGATTATAAATATCACTTATTAGTAGTATTAATAATATGAAAGTTGCTACAGCGTTTGTATTTCAAATATTACTAAATGTATTATTAATATTTGCTAGTTCTAGTGGTACTGGATGATGGATCAGTGGATGAACTCGTGAAGTCAGTTTTGTATCGTTTCATCTTTAAAAATTGCAGGCTTTTATTTTTACTCTTTCTAGTTCAAAGGGTTGTGGCAAGAATTGAAGAAAGACTAAGAAACAAGCTTGAAGTTGAACTTGGTTGAAGTTTGAGCATGATTCTTAGTCTTTCAAAGTTTCTTCAGTTCTTGTCATAACCCTTTATGGCCTTTAAACTAGAAATAACTAGAAAATAGAAAGACAGTAGATGAAAGAAATAGCCTAGCTGACATTTCTCTGCAGCCAGTGCAGGAAGACAAAGGTAAAACTAAAATGCCTAAACTTGCCAGTTCCAAAAGAAATCTAGTTTTAACTTTTACCCAGTTTTAGTTTTATACGTTCATTGCATTTTGTAGTTTATATTTGACTGAACTAACTCATTTTAGATTAGTTTATCTTTTTTATAGTTATCTATGTTACTGGCAAACTTTCTAATGGTTTTTTACTTTTCAACTCCACATACTGCCTTGCTTTAGTGCAGTGCAAAATCATTTGTAATGTCTTGTACATTCCAGTTGAACATATAATCTTTGAAAGTAAACAAACTAGGTTTGGTTTACACTTGATAGTTGGGTGAAAGCTCACGAAGTACTTACCTCTTCCTTTAACCAGATACTACATAATATCTTAAAAACAGTAATAGATTAGTAAGGGAAGATTTCCCTTCAGCAAATCTAGTTAGAATAGGGGGGGTTAGTTAGTTAAATAGATTGAATGTTGGCTGGATAGGAGGAAGAAAAAAGTTGCTACTAATGGTGTTCAATCCAACTCCAAGTGAACTAATGTTACAAGAGTTGTGCCCAAGTGATCTGTGTTGGGACTGTTGTAATTTATTATTTATGTTTTTTTTATAAAAACTTCTGAGTGAAACTAAAAAAGAATGTAATATGTCAACCATACTGTATCTACTATATCCAATGGCAAAGAAGCCTTAAGCACAGTACCAGTGCTCATTTGGCCAGCCAGGATATTACAGACATAGTGGTTAAGTTGCTACTTGTATCAATAGTAGCTTGAACAGCAACTGCCTCAGTGTGAACTAGATTAAGTTGGTGAATTATAATTTTGATAGACGCATAGTTTCTGTTGATATAAACATCTTAAATCTGACTGGGCATATTGAAGATGGTCTGGATATACAGAGAGACAACTTAGAATGGTTGGATAGTTGGACAAATACACAGAGATAGCATGTAATTATGATATTTAGGAGGTTATGCATGTCTGTTGTCATAGCATAAATTTTTTTGGGGGGGATATTGGTTTATAATTCATAAGCTTTTGAAATGGTTTTTTAGTAAATAGTTGTTCGAGAGTTTCAGAAGGGAAGCTACAAGGAAATTTCCCAGGGTGGGTTGTTGTGTGAAGATAAGTTGAAATCGCTTAATTGGTTTTGTTGAAAAGAGAAGGGTTAAGTGTGATGTAATTGAGATATGAGCACTTATTAAAAGAGTTAAGATTATTATTTGTTTTTGTGAATTGTGAAGGAAATAGGATAGAAGTAATAAAAAGTATGATTTGGATAGGTCAGACACATCTCTATCTTGGGCAGTTTTATTTGCTTAGTAGGGTGATAAATTTGATGGACAAATTACTGTCCAGAGTGCATAGTAGATGCTTAAACTTCCAGTTAACAGATGAATACTTGGATGAACAGCACTTGATTTAATGATTAGTTTTTGTTTTGTTGAGGAAGGCTGGGAGTTAGGGTATTCTTGATGGGCTAAAAGTGCCCTTGAAGCCCCATAATTTATAATTGTTTTTCTCGGTGAAACTTTGGGTCATTGGTTAATATAATCACCCTGATGTAAAAGAGTAGATTGGTATAATTCTAAAGAACATATGTTTAGGATACTAAAAATCACATGTACACACACACACACACACACACATAAGATAAAAAATAAAGTAATGATAATTTTATTCAACAACTGCAAAATGTAAATTTAGTCATCTGAAAACAATATATTATCCCATTATCAAAAGTAAATACTTCATTTTATTTGATAAAGTTATTTTAAATGCAATAATAAAATCTAATGCTACGACAACCAAAAGTTTGATATAAAAATATGGTACATCTGTTGTAATAAAACTGTTTGGAGCAAGTTTTTCCCATGCTGCAATTCTTCAATGGACATATTTATTAATCTTGAATTGGACCAGGTACATTGTCAATAAGCTTCAATTGTGTATGGGAATGTGCTTAATATATTTTATTTTACAGGGGTGCATTCTCAATAGTAAAAAGATGTGTTCAAAAGGCTACTGGACTAGAATATGCAGCAAAAATCATCAGTACAAAGAAGCTATCAGCAAGAGGTAAGTTTGTTAACCTTGCATCCCATATGTTTATATATAACAAAATATAAATAGTACTATCAAAGTGTGCTCAGAATATTGCTGTACAAGCTCTAAACTAATTTCAGTTGCAACAGTATTAAATTGTTCTGTTTATGCTTGATTCTATAGCTTTATAGAAGTCCTTTAAACTTAGCTACACGTTATTTTACATAGAATGTCGGTTGATATATATGGCTAGTCTGCTATTAATGAGTGCTGCTTTTTAAAATATTATCTGCTGACTTGTGTAAAAAGAATATTGGATGAACCAGTTATATTGTAATTAAACAAGTGTAACATCATTTATGAAATGAGTGTGAATGTAATCTAGCATACTACAATGTTTTGTTCTCCTCACGGTGGAATTGTGTAGTGGAACACTTATTTATACTGTATCCTGTTTATTTTCAAAATTTTTGAAGGAATATGTCTATAATCCCTCAAATTATTAAGGACTTCTGAATCTAAATACTAGTGTTTATTGCCATATAACTGATATATCTCTCTAACATTTAAAACAAAAAACAACAAAGTGTGATCTTTGACACGTTTAAACTACTAAAAAACAAGAGTATATATAATGGAAAGTAGTGCCCGGATTGTCCAAAATAAAAATTAATGAAAATAGAAAACATAGACCCCTTATGTTCATCATGATCTTTATATGGTGTATTTGTTTGAGATGCTATTACATATTCTTACATTTCTTCCAATGGATCTGGATTTTTAAATAATCATTCTTTCAATTATTAAAGTATGGTGTACTGACTGTCAAGGATGCTGCTTTACAAAAGGATTTAGATCATTTGATGAGTTGAGCGAATAACTGGCAGATAGCTTTTCATTGTCATAAATGCAAGATAATCCATAAATTAAATTACAAGTTTGATAGAAATAACCTTAACAGTGTTATGAAAGAAAAGGATCTTGGTGTTCATGTTGATCGTCCTTTTAAGCTATTCAAGCAGTGTGTTGTTGCTAGTGGTAGAGCAAATAGGATTTTAGGCTGTACCTACAGAAATATTTAATACAAGTCTAAAGATGTTAAATTACATTGCATAGGTCACTGGTTAAACCACATTTAGAATATCATTCTTAGGCTCCTTACCTAAGGAAGGACACTGAATTGTTAAGAGAGGGTTCAGAAGAGGGCAACCAGAATGATATCTGGGATGGAAAGGTTGTCATAAGAGGACAGGTTAAGGTATCTGAAATTGTTTTTTCAATTAAACTACAGGGAATCCTCAATAGCTGCAGCACTTAATTCATTTTGGCAGAATTAGAGTAAATTAATCTGTGAGACCTTCTTTCCATTTTATTAGCCATATTTTTGTGCACTAGCAACACCAAGTGTGGGGCCATGTATACCTGATTCAATTTTATTACTCATCAGAATCTCTTCCAACCTACCCACAAATTGAAATTGTTTTAGGCAGGATTAGAGTAAATTAATCTGAGACCTTTGATGTGGTCAAATACATCAGTCGAAAGGGTTTGACTTCTTGAGTCCAAAACTGTAATTAGATCTGAAATCAGTCAAGAGATGACAGAGCTGTGAGCTAATAGTTTGTACTTGAAAAACATGGAGCTATTCTATGAGCTGCTATGGCATGGCTAAAAAAGAGTTTGGGAGGGATCTGATTGAAGTGTTTAAGATTGTTAAGAGAATTGATAGTGTCAGTGCATCATCTTTTTTCATATTCAATGGTCAGAATATAAATTTTGGCAGGGTAGGAGTCATCCACAGATAAAAAAGCTTTATTTTTCTAATAGGATAATTTGCCTTTGGAATTGTTTGCCTTGAGATGTTGTAAAAAGCAGTAAATTCAAGGGAGTTTAAGGGAAGGCTTGATAAATATATAAATATAGGTTGGCTTTGATTTTTTTTAACAATTCAGTCTAAGGGAGGAGACACCTAGGTGGATCAACAGGTCTTTTTTTTTTTTGTCCTTAAAAGTTTTGTTACCAAATTGAAAATCACGATCTTGAAAGAATTGGTTGAACAAGTTCTGATGAAAATTGATAAAGGAAATCTGGTGAAACCCCTCTAAAGGTCAAGTTTAAATGATAAGCAGTTAGACAAACAGTTTAAGTTTGGATGGTATTGCTATTTAACACCTTAATGTTGGAAATGAGGGCTCAACTGAGTGAGAAGGTTTGTGGAAATAATAAAAGTGACTTTGAATGCCTCAAGTATTGCCGGTACCTTTGTATTGGGAAAAACTGTTGATTTACTATGACTCAAAATACTGGAAAGGGTGACCCATGTACCCATTTATAGCATTACTTTTTAAACTTTGCATTATTTGGTACCTATGCTGGTAGCGTTATGAATACCAACCATATCATTGACTTTTTGAAGAACATAATTCAAACCTTTTTTGGTGTAGGTTTACTCGGATGTTTACATTAAAGCAATAAGCAAAACTTCCATGATTTATAAGGAGCTATCATATTACCCTTTCATGACAGCTATCCCCTTAACCCTATTGATATGGGTCAAAGGCTGTTTCATCGCGTTTGTTGACTCGCATTTAAAATTTCATTCAAGTACTATTTCATGAATTTATGTCAATAAGTTTGGTATCAAATTGTAGATTCTAACTCAGATTTGTGTATTATACATTAGTTAATTTCTTAATTTAAAAGTAAATATTAAAAAAATGCACCTAAATAGTGATTCTTTTTTTTCTATGTCACATAGCATGTTGAATGCAGCATTGGTTTAAATTAGATGTTTGTGATGTCCAAGTGCAAAGTCTGTAATTTCTTACAAATTAATAATTCAAATTACCGATATTGACAATCTAGAATATTAAGTAAGAACCTCATATCTTTTCTATTTGCTGAGATATCGCTACATGTACTGAATGAAACACAGTGGCACCACTCACCTCTGTCCACTTTTGGAAAAACTTGTATATGTACATCTACTTCTTTTTACAGGGTGTGAATAACCAATTGAAAACTCAGAATGCCTCCCATGTGGTTCTCTGAGCCTTTGCAAAGTACTTACATTTGAAACCCTTCCTTTTCATGAGCTCAAAATTTCATCTTTTTTAAGACCCAAATACAGCTTAGTTACTGAGCTTATTAAGTTATAGTGGAATTCTATGGTATGGATATAGTAATTTATGATTTTTGGTTATTTCAATATATATATATATAACCTAAAAAAATTGTTTCACATCCCCCACATGAGAAATTTGGTAAGGCTTAGCAACCTATGGCAAGCAGCAAACAAGTACAAAGTTCATAGCTAGAAGAGAATTGTTTGCTATACTTTTTTATTTACTGTTCTATGTCTTAAGAAAAATAAGCTATAACTGAAATGTGACTGTATTTTACAAAATACTAGTCTACTAAAACACAACCAAGACAGGTCATATGAGTGCACATGCACCACATCATTGCAACTTCTGTGATTTTAGCCAGGCATGGCTGGAAGATCAGTATAATAAAAATGTATAATGTTATGAGATTTAAGCTATTTAGACTAAACATTTGTGTTTTCATGTTATAATTTGTAGTTATTTTAGAATGAAAAATCATAATTTTTATTAATTTATTAATTTTTTATAGTGGTTACAAAGTCGGTCAAATTGATCGAACCCATACAGAGATATAAAGTTTTTCTGAATAAACATTTCATAATTTTCTGGAGGTTATAAAGATTTTGTATGTGAAATTTGAAAATTTTCTGATGCATAAAAGTATTTCTAATCTTAAAATCAAAATTACTCTGCATGTTGAATAGTCAACATTTCAAAATAAAAAAGGCATGAGAAAAACATTATTTAAAAAATCTTAAAACTTAATTTACAAAAATCTGATATTTTGCATATGAAAGCCTTGTAATCTTTACTGATAATCTGCAAAATTTCATGAAGTATAACAAGCACAAAATGGTTACGAGGTCGATCCATGGGACCAAGCCCATACTGAAAGAGTTATACTTTTCTGTGCAAGTTGCTGAGTTATATTCAAAACTTAGTTAAACACCTTTATTATCAATGTATGTGAATGAAATTAACATTATAATGTATGTTATAATTCAAAGTTTTGTGTTATTTGAGTTTTAATTCCTTTATTTCAAAGGAAACCTTTAAAGAAATACTTAAACTTCAGTTTTGTGTTGTCACGTGACCTACAAGCTATGAATATCAACTTTCACACTTTCTATCTTGACTCCGATAATGCCACCTGCAGATATATGCCTAGACAATTAAGTATGCTTACTTGAACTGTTGACATGTAAGTTTCATAGTTCTCTGGCAGAATGGAGTAGAAACAAGTAATATATTTTGTCAGCCCCTGATGAGTGCCATAACTACATTCTGTACTTTTACTTGAGCTCTATAACATACATGTAGTAGCTAGATATACATGTATATAGTAATTAGAAAGAGCTCATTTTACACTATAATCCACCAACAATTATTTTGAAATTGGTTGCAGTTGTTATCTGGTAGATGTAACTGCTTGAAGTATTTTAGCTGCTTGATCCCGGGTGACACTTAGTTTTTTCTTAACTAAGTATGTTATAGTTGAGAAGCAGTTAAATTGTACTTTGGTCTTCCTTTTATATCTTAGTTAATTATGTATTACATATGTTTTAAAATGCATAATTGGAAGGTTAAAACATTTTTTAAATACACATACTTTGTCAGCTCTCAAGGCTTAAGATTATTCATGAGGGGAAGATAATTTTGTTAGAGGCTTGTGTATCTCTGCTGAAGATACTGTAATTATGCCTCGAGGATACTGTTGACTTGTGCCGAAGTGAATAATAAAAGGTAAAGGACAGGAAAGGAAATAAAACGTTAAAAATTAACTATATGTGTGAAAAGGAAAACACCTAAAATTACAATTATAACCAAAAAAAGACATTTTAAGATATTTTCTTAAAAATTAAAATGTGTTAAAATAATTTTTCTATTTCTTAATTTTAAACATTTCATTGCACTGTATGTTTATGATATCTACATTTAGTGATATAGTAGAGAAAATCAAAAATAAATTATAAACTTTTACCTTGAAATAACTTTGATATTCATTTAGTAGGTTTTAGAGGTAAAGAAGATTTGTACATGAAAACTTGGGTATCAAGTATACCATTCATTGACCCTAGTCTCTGAAAAATTTTAAAGTATAGCATTCTTGTATAGCAAGAATGAAACTCAGTCATTTTCTTGAATTTTGAAATTTTAGATCCTGAATGAAAGACATAACAATGTTAGAAAACAAAACTAAAGAACCTTCTGTTGAAATTTATAAAGAATTTATTACAAAAAATTAATGACTTAGTGTCTTGTACTGGTATGGATTAGAAATGAATAGCAAATAATCATTGGAACCAATAAAGACAAGTTGTATCTGATTAAAATTAGTTAAGGTGAAAATTTGTCTTTTTGGTTTTACTTTGTTGATTAATAAATAAACATACCTCAAGTTGAGAGTAAACTGTTTTTCTTGTCTAGCTGGTTGGCCTTTGAAACAGTAAAACTGGTATATTGCAATTGGAAAACTAAATTTTATGCTAACACTCGGTGATATAGTGACTATATAGGTCCTTATGTAGTTTTGTTTTTCTATAACTCTTTTTAAAATTGCAAGTAATAAATTATTATGTATGACTATATTTTGATTATTGATTTTTATTCAGACTTTCAGAAATTGGAGCGAGAGGCAAGGATATGCCGTAAATTGAACCATCCTAACATAGGTATTTTTATTTTTATTCTTGGTAGTTCAACAATAACATTTTCTGAAATCATGTGAACGTAGTGAAATTAATGCTTTCATAATCTTGATTTAATTATAGTATCCACATGACACTTGTACAAAACCAATCCTAATTATGAAACACAAAGTAACATCTTTAATTGCAATGCTAGAATATGCTGGTGTTCCTATGTAGTTATCAACATTACTAATAATCTCTGACTACGTATTGTTTTTTAAGATAGTTATACATAACTTTAGTCAGTAAGAAAAAGTGAGTTGACTGATAATGAATTGGCTCGAGTTTCTTATTGTTATATGTGAAAAATTACATAAATCAATCTTAAACTGTGAAATTGTAGACTGTTTCTATGGGGTTTCGTTAAATAGATATTGTACTTGTATTGTTCATGGAATAATATTGACATGTATTGGAAGTTTATGTCAAGGTTTTCAAATGTGTATTAAAGATAGTCATGATTATATTAAAAAAAAAAAACTACTGTGTCCATGTAATGTTTTGTCTACTATTACTGGGAAAAATATTTGTAAAAAATTAAGCATAAAGATTATTCAAGTGGTTCTTCTAGTGGATTAATGTATTTTTTTATACATTCTTGGAGATGTGACATTAATTACAATGTGTAATGATGTATATGTAGCAAATTGTATTTAAAGGCTTTGAAAAACCCTCTAGGCCACCTTTGGATAAATATGTCAGCCAAATGACTAAGCAGTAATAATGATAATTAGTGCTTGAGTTATTATTACTTTTTTACCTTTATTTGGCTTGGAACAGTTGAGAACAATTTTAACTGGTTGTGGGCTGGTGAGAGATTCACATTTTATAGCAATGTACATGTTAAAGCTTTAACAAGACTTAATGTCTACTTATTCTGATCTTCAAGGAATGTACATGAAATACCAGAGCCCTGCCACTTTTAGATAAAACAGTGATAAAAGGTGTGCTGAATTCCAATTTTAAACATAGTAAATGGTCAGTTAATAGTAAACACATTATGGAAATTTTTGGAGAATAGGTATTTATAGTGAAAATAGTAAAATGGTTCAAAAAGTCACATATTAATGTGTAAAAGACTGAAAAAAAGCATATGTCAAGAAATGTGTAAAGTGTAAATCAAGCAATTCTGCAGTTTTGAAAAGCTAGCTAAGTTCAAAGTTTTGTTTCCTTTATCACTTTTATCTTGATAAATGTTTTTCCATCTTTATAAGCAGCTGTTGTTAGTTATGTTTTCTAAGTGTATGTGTTGATAATGAAGGTACATATTTGTTAATGTATGTGGTAGGCACTAGTGTTAAAAATGTAACAAGGTGGTAATGTGGATAATTATCTGTGCACTGAAAAAATTTACTGTCAACATTATCAAGATATTTTCCTCTTGAAGCTAATCTTAATAAAAACTAATAGCATAAATATTACTTATATATAGAAATTAAGATCAGTGTTATCTTGAAGTTGATTTAGTAAGACTGATACTACAATAAATTTTACTTTTTCACTAAAAAAAAAATCAGTAAAAAATTTTAAGTCTATTTTAAAGCTAACTTTGATAAATGTTAGTGCCAAGATAGATGTTATGTACCCATATAAAAAAAAATTATGTTGTGTAGAAATCTATAAGATATATATTGTTTTATATCTTTCTTTTGCATATAATGTTCAGCAACAATGTTGTATAATAGAATGGAAAATCATGATATATAGAATATAGCATGTCCCTTGATAATATCATTTAATCATTCATATTTGATATTAGGTTTCAGGCCAAAGCACCATGTTAGATGCTTTTATGGGGTTCCATGATGTAAAAGTGGGTGAAAATGTTTTAAAATAATCAAAACACCTTAAGTAATTTCGGTACAGAGTATGATGCTTTGAATATCAGGTATACCATGCTGTGATCATTGTAAGATATGAATATTGTTTTATTTTCAGTACGACTACATGATAGCATACAGGAAGAAGGGTTTCACTACTTGATATTTGACTTGTAAGTTTGTAAAAATCTTTGAAAATTTTGAATTAATCCTTAATTTACTTTTTTCTTATTTTTTTTTAACTAAAATGTTTTGAAGCTTAATTTGAGTGATAAATTTGTCACTGACATCATTTTAAGGTAACTTACAGACAAATTGGAATAAATTGATCAAGTTAAATTTTGCTTTTCAAGTGAAAATCAAAGCACTAAGAATTAAGCCTTCAAGTCTAGATAGATACTGAATGTGTGTTTTTACAAATGGAACTATATCAAGTATTTTATAACTACTGAACCAAATATTTCAGACTATTTAAATTGAGAGATTAGTTTAAACAATAGTAGACTTATTACACTCAACCCAAGGATAGATACTTGTAAGAAAGTATGTGGCTACAAAAGTACTTAAGAAAAAATTTAGATTAAGTTAAAGAGAAAATGATGGTTTTCTACACTGTTCCATACCCACAATATTTTTTATTTTTCTAATGGTTAGACACTTTAAATTTTGGTGAAGCTATAAATATCTACATTGTGCCTTTTGGTTTTTTTTGTCTGTGTTGTTATTTTAATAACGAAGGTCTAAAAAAGCTTAAACTTTAGAAATTATACATTGTAGGTATATTGAAAGGAGTTGAGAGTATACAAGAGAGAGAGAGAGAAGAAAAAAAAGTGTTACTTTTTTTTTTAATATAGGGTTTTTGTATCAGAAATGCATCTATTTTTCTTCTGATAATCAAAAGTATCTTTATTGGTGTTGGTTAGAGTATGGGAAAAAAAGAAAATTTAACAGGGGGAAGTATGTATTGAAATGTATTGGTCAAGTTGCCAGGCCCTGAAAATAGAGCAGAGTGTAACAGTGCATACTAATAAGGTTTTTTTGGCTGAAACAAGTAGTTCTCCAAAACGTCATTTTCAAGATTGTGATAGGTGCCCAGTTGGCATGGTCAAGCACTTTTTCCAAATACAAATAAATCTTGTAGAGTTAGGAAATTAACTTGATTAATCAATATAATTTATTAGTGTAAGATAAAATAATTTAGTAGTTAAAACTACAATTATATAGATTAATTTTATGAAAATGATCAACTAACCAAAACTATTATTTCTGATTATTATCCAAGTAATTGAAATCTTACAATTATAATTTCTCATTATTATTATTGTTTTGATTAATTTGAGTTTGTTCAACTTTGTGCTGATATGGCCTGAGACTAAAGGGTTTACCTCATAATTGAACGGTTTCTGGTTCAGATTTGATTCCCATTGATACCAAACATACCCTTTCTACTTTGAGGGTATTATGATTTTTTGTTTGGAGTTATGGTATAGCAACCAGCCACTGTTCCTAATTTTGAACTGCTAATCAGAGAGAAGGCAACTAGCCAGCAGTATCATTGACAACTCTGTAAGTATAGTATTAAAGTTTAAATTTAGTTAGTTTTTTTTTTTACATTGTATTATGTTTCTGATTTATAATTGCACAACTGTATTCTTTAATAGTGAAAGTTGTGAATAAAAACTGATTACATTATTATATTGTAATTCATAATTTACTAACTGTTTTATTAATGTTAAACAAACTATTAATTTACTTTTTCAGTATTCTTTGTGTTGTGTTTGTAACTCAACATTTGTTACTTTCCTGAATTTGTATCCCTGTGTAATTCGTGACGATCACTGATATGTCTCAAATCCTTAACTCTCCGATCACATGGCGAACACTTGCAAAGTCATATTCTTTATCCACTTGGTCATGCCAGCCATTTAACCATGTAATAAAATATGAATGTAAGTGTACCAGCCATGAGTGCTACTCTTTTATAATATTGCATGAAGTGGTTTGATCACTTACTAATGAAACACAGCCTTGTAATATGATTGGATAAAGCAAGAATTAGACTCGCTTTATAGTAAAGTAAATAAACTAGTTTATGGTTTCATGGGAAAGTTTGTAGTTCCAGCTCATGTAGCATTCACTATAGATCTTCTATGGGAAGTTTTAAAGACTTAGAAATCAATTACAGAGCTAAGAATGTTTTGTTTCTTTAAACATTCTTTTTGTTCATGAAAATGTTTGTGTGTTAAATTATATCTGTTTGAAAGCAACAGAGGTTTTCTTTGAGAAAACATTAGTTAAGCTTATTAAGGTTTGGTCAGTGCAGTAAGCAATAGCAGAATGTTCTGATGACTTAACCATGTTTATTGAATATTATTTTAAGACTTATTCTATTCAAACAACATACAAAGAAATTGCAATCATGATATGTTTTATAAAAAACATTATTACAGTTGTCACTGATAGTAAAACATTTTCATTATTTGATTTATAAAAGATCAGTAGGGGATTACTGCATATTTTAAAAACAAGCAAAATTATGACCTTGTGGTCATCTCAACATTTGTAATTTCCAAATTAGGAAATGCTCAGCTTATTTTAGCAAAAAAAAAGTGATAAAAGTTTCACATTTTTCTGTGTGTTTAAGCTAAAAAAAATTTTTGTTTTTTTTTTCACAAAATGTGCAAATGGCAACTGCCAGAAGATGTTTATCATGTTAAATGAATGGTAGTTTGAAGTAGCATAAGGACATGCTTTTGAAAATTAGACATACTGATCTAGTAGTCAAAGAAGCTCAATACCATAAATCATGCTATAAGGCATACACTAGATGCTTGGCATCGTCTGCTAAGCCACCTGCTGAGGTGGACAAGTCTCATGAGGAGGCATTCATTCACTTATGTGAAACAGTAGTCATAGAAAAAAAATCATCAAGGCAGGAGAGATATACAGAATAAATACTTTGACAATAGGCTTTTTCAAGAGGCTGTCAGAAACATCCATGGAAATGATGTAGAATATTGAAATTGCCAGTTGAAGATGTTTATCTGCAAGTTGTATCGTTAGGGCCACATACATACTGTGAATGATGTGAGATATGAAATATCCAAATACTGCCACAAACAGGGATGCTCTTGTTAACCATATTCATAGGGCTAACTACTAAGTTGTAACATACCATCGATACCTGCAGCAGACAATAACTGCCCCAAGTACAGAAGGTTTTGGATGGCACATTGAAAATGGTGTTGAGAATGATGAAATTATTTCAGACTCTGATTACAAAAGTGAATTGGAGGGTTAATTTGATAGGAGTTCCATCTATACCGACACAAAATTTGTTCCCTAATGCCCATATGACTGTTGTGTCACCTCGTATTAAGTAATTTTCTATGCCAAATGGCACCATGTATTGTAAAATACTGTTTTCTCGTGGAACATAAAAAATTATTTGCTTGATTCTTATAAAGTGACTTCAAAGACTTGAAGCTAGAGCATCAAATTAACCAAAGACAATTAATTGATTGACTGTCTTTTAAACTGAGATGAGTTTAGTTGCATCATCAGTTGTTGCCAATAGAAAGATGAACACAGTCATTAGCTTGCAAGATTTGGTAAGTCACAATATTTCTTTGGGGGTTTCACTTTCAGCATGGCTTACTGTTAGATTAATTGCCACAAAGTTCCTATAAATCTCAAACAAATAAAAAAATTTAGATATTTAAAAGCTGGATGATAATCTTTGCAAAATGATATTGAGTAAAGGAACTAGAACATTACATTGCTAATATCACTTATTTTGCATTACATGCACAATTTTTGTTTGCCATAGAAAAAAAATGTAAAACAAGTTGTAACGAAACTTTTAAATGTTATTCAAAATACTCCAGAATTGTCCATTTGTGATTCAACATCCTGAAATTGCCCTTATAACCCTGTTTCTGGTGTTAGACCATAGTTAGAAAAGTCTCCAGTCTGTGTCAAACAAAGGGTTAATATGAAACCCTATGAAGGCGTCAATGTGCAATTTTAAGATCCAGAACATTGCATTTTTGAAATCAGCACCCTCAAATTACCCTTAAATCACTGTTTCTGTTTGGTCCCCAAAGTTCTGAAATGGATGTGAATTTCTAGACCTATTAGAAATCTTTGCCCACAGCCTTTTATACACTGAAGTCGTACATTCAACAAGAATCAAAATTTACTGGATGTTGGTGGTCTCACTGGGAGCCACCACTTTGAAGTGGACAATCCGAATACTCTGCTGTTGACTTCAGCAGGAACTCATTTGTGGTTATAAGTGCTTATCAAAAGACCAAGAATCCAAAAAGATGCAGAACTGTGGAGGTAAAGCAGGATACTGCATGCTAGATGTCCATGTTGAAAGAAATGACCTGGTTTAATATTTCAAGTGAGGCTTTTCAGGAGTCTTCTCTTTTACACTTCCTTTTTTGCATCTCCTGCTACCAGCCTTCCTCATATTAAGAAGCATTTTTTTTTCTAATTCTCGCTTGAAATATTGCTTTGCTAACTTTCTAACAAGTATACTACTGGGCACTAAATATAAAAATCAGTAGTGTTATAATTTTTGCAATATAATTGTTGAATTCCTGTAGTATAATCACTTTTTTTTAAATATTGTATTATGCTGTAGCTGTGCATGTTTTTGCATCTGATTTACAGTTTGTGTTAAGCTAAAGTTGCATAATATTAAAATAAAATTTGTTTTATTAGTAAAGAAATATAATTAATGCATACCTTGTCAAGTGTCTGTTGTAGTGTTACATGTATGTACCTATGTTTGCTAGGATACTCCATGTCAGTAGATTCAGCTAATGACCCAACTCCAGGAACAGGCAGTTTTTTAGTTATATGACTGCTGAATTATTTGAATTTTTCTCATTACTGTGTTAGTTTTAGCTTTTTTTTAAATTTCAGGATATTACATGTTTAATTGAAAACAGTTGACCTGACATTATGCTAACACATCAGTTCATAATGTTAATGGGTTTGAATTTATACACTGTTAACCATCACTTTTAAGAGTCTTTTAGTTCTTCCATTCATACATTTTTTTGTATATTTTTATTTTTAGAGTTACAGGTGGGGAGTTGTTTGAAGATATTGTAGCCAGAGAGTATTATAGTGAGAGTGATGCCAGGTAATAATGCCTAACTTTAGAGTCCCAGGAGGGGGAGAATTTCTTAAAATTATTGTAGACATAGAGTAATATAGCAAGAGTGATGCTAGGTATTAGTCCTTGTATTAATGTTGGATAGGGGGACATTAAGACAAAAGGGAAATGAAATTACAGTATTAAATTGCTGATTATTTAAGTGCTCATATAATGTAGTAGTGAAGGTATAAATTATAGATGGAAAGAATGATAGTATGAGTTGTTAAAGATAGAATTGAGAAGGCTATTGCCAATGTATCTTTAATCCAGACAAACGAAGTATTGTCTTTTAGCCTAAAGATATAAGATGTCTCGTGTTATTAATGTTTTAACTTTTTATAATACCCGTTTGCCAATTTTAAATGGAATGTGAAAGTTTATATCTTATTTGTTACTAAATTTTTAATGCCTATAATGTGTCAAGAATATGTTGATCTATGCATACATATAGTGAATTTTTTCAACTTTTTAAAATGGTTATAGAACAATTGACAATTGCCTTGATTGTTAACTTGAACATCTTTCAAAATTAAATTTGTATTATTTATTTGAACTTGATAGTATCAGGTTATCATAATAAATAAAAAAAAATATATATATATATATAGTCGTGGGAGCAAGGCACACGAGGGATAGG